CTTTTTAAAAATTTTTTTTAATTTTTAAATTTTTTTTTTTTTTTTGCTAGGCAATGGGGTTAAGTGACTTGCCCAGGGTTACACTGCTAGTAAGTGTCAAGTGTCTTAGGCCAGATTTGAACTCAAGTCCTCCTGACTCCAGGGCTGGTGCTCTATCCACTGCACCACCTAGCTGCCCCTTGACCTGACTTCTTAAAGAATCTTAAGTTTAAAGATAAAGATTTATTTAAAGATAAAAATTTATCCCAATTGCATGTAAAAACAATTTTCAGCATTCATTTTTTTTAAATTTTGAGTTCTAAATTCTCTCCCCATCTCTCTGAGATGGCAAGTAATTTGATTTAGGTTATACATGTGCAATCATGCAAAACATATTTCCACACTTAGAAAGTATCTAGAGGCAGTATGGTGTGGTGAAAAAAACTCTGGACTTGGAGTCAGAAGAGATCTGGGTTTCAATCCTACCTGAAACTTACTGGCTAACTAAACACCCAGCTGTGTGACCACGGGCAAGACATACTTCTCTGAGAACTTGGTTTCCTCAACTGTGAAATGGGGATCATGAAAAAATACACAGAGAAAGAGGAAGTGCCTACTATGTGCCAGGCATGGTACTAAGCTCTGGGGATGCAAAGAAATTAAATTTAATTCAACAAATATACATTAAGCACCTAAAAGGAGCCAGGCAGGCACTGAGCTAAGAGCTAGTGGTACAAAAAGAGACAAAAGATAGTCTCTGTCCTCAAAAAGTTTACAATCTAATGGAAGAGACAACACGTAAACAAATATATACAAAGCCAGCTATACACAGGATAAATAGGAAATAATTAACAAAGGGAAGGCACTGCAATGGAGAGAGATTGGGGCAAACTTCCTGTAAGAGGTGGGATTTTGTTGTTTGTCTTTCATTTTCAAAGAGAACCAGTGACATCACAAGGTGATACCTTGATTCATTTGTAGATTGGATTTAAGTGAGCCAGAGTTGCACAAAGCCATCAGCCTCACTCTCTCTTTCAGAGTCCTTGAAGTCCAGTGGCAAGACAAAAGTCAGGATGACTAGTGATGGCCAGGGATGCAGTGGATGACCTTGGAGTCTTCAATGTATCACCAAGTTCTAAGTGTTTCACAGAACTTGCTTCAGCTGCTTTCATGACTGTTGGAACAAATTGCTTTCATCTGCCCATTCCGCTGGGGAAGTCTTCACATGCTTGGGGTACACAATCCCCGTAACTCACCAACAGGTTTGTGGCTTAGCCCATCTGCCAAGACAGTTTACCAGGGTGTGGCTGCTGCACATGCCACAGCTTCTTGGAGCCACAGGTGAGAGTTGAGTGCCAGGCAGACACCAAATGTGGATGAGCAGCCCTGAAAAGGTCTCAGCAAGCTCTCACACTAGAGGTGCTAGTCCTCCCTGAGCACCCATATACCTCAGGGGGATTTTAGTTGGTAGCTAAAGGAAGCCAGGGAGGTCAGTAGTCAGGATGGAAGAGGGAGAGAATTACAGGCATGAGGGACAAGGCAAAAGACAGTTCCTTCAAGAAACTCACAGTTTAATGAGGAAGATAACAAGCAAACAACTAGGTACAGATACAAAACTCAATATATGTGTCAACAATTATTGATCTGTCCAACCCACTCATTTTGCACCAAACAATTGAGGTCCAGAGAATGACTTGCCCAAGGTTATCCTGCTAGATAAAGGCGAAGCTAAGATAAGGAGCTAAATTAGTGGCACATTTTGAATGTTCTTTGCTAAAATTGCATTAGATAATGGATCTCTGGATGGGAATTTTCTGATGACAAACACAAGACTTTAGAATCAAAATACCATACTAAAACAAAACCAACTGAAGCAAATAACCACAGGCAGAACTACCTCATCAAGTCATTATTACATTTGTCAAAGCCCAATTGTTTATTGAATAATAAAGAGGAATCAGATACTATACCTGTGGGCCTGTCTAAAGTCACAGCTGGTGAGTTGGGGAGCTGGAACTAAAAATTTCAAACTTATTCTACCACAGCTTCCATTGACTGGGTGTGGTAACCTATCACAGGGTCATCATCGTCATCATCATCATCATCATCGTTGTCATCATCATCCTAACCAAAAGGATAGCTGGCATTTAGATAGCTACCCCCTCACTGTATAATATGGAAAAATTAAATGCAACTTGTTTTTCAACATAAATCCATCTGCCTATAACATATCCTCTTTGGTTTAACTTAAATACTGGGGATTTTCAGTTCTTGCACTTGGCCGGAAAGCTGGATTTCTGCACCAGACATAAAGGCTGCAATCTGATCTTTCAGCATCAGTGACTGCTGCCACTGTTCCCACCCCTCCCCTTCACTTCTCTCCCATCTCACAGCGGGCAGCACGCCAAGGTGCCAAGATTACAACTCCCTCCAACAAGAGGGAGCCCAGATCTCAATGCCGATGGCTGCTTTTAATTCTGGAGGGCATAAAGAGAGAAGAAGAATAGTACAAATATCTTGCTCAATGGCCACTTTCAGCCTGCCTGCCCAGAGGCCTGCTGCTGGCAGGCCTCCTAGACAGGGAGGGGCAGCCCCAGGGTCATGCTGCAGCCTTCCTCCCAGTTGGGGGGGAACTAGAGGAAGGCTCTAACTCAATTCCCTGGGCTGTACTGAAGGACAGATATTATTTACTGACAATCAGATCATAAAACACAAACTTCAAGCCCATTCCAGCTTACATTTAACTCACAGGACAGCTGGAGAGTTGGAGAATTATAACTGTTCCCACCTACAACCCTATCTGTAATGTTCTACAGACTCAAAGCAATTCTCTGTGCTGTCACCCTCTGTGATAATGGAAGCCAGTGGGGAAATAGAGAAGGGGAGAGAAGGGAAGGTAAAACATATCTTCATTAAGTTCCAGAACAGATCTCAATTCTTATGCCTGACTTTTCATTATTGAGGGAAGAGAATAACTGCACATTTGTCTTATTCACAAACAAAGCTGGAGTTTAGGCTCTTGAACAGACCTAACGTAAGCAAAGTTAATTCCTCGTTTCTGTTACCCACATCCTTGTATCAAAGAAAAAAAAAGATAATACATCTTATTTGTTCAATTTTATTTCCCAAATAAGGGCTAAGCAGTCTAAGAATCTTTATTAATCTATTAGGATCACAGGATTTCAAGGCCAAAAGGTCCTTAGGACTCATCTATTAACCTTCACCTTATAGATGAGGGAGTCCCCAAGAGGGGAAGCAACCCAGCGAAGATCTCCAAGATATTAAGTAGCAGCCGAGGCTCAAACCCAAGTTTTCTGCCTGAAAATCCAGTGCTCTCTTCCACCACACCATGTCAGAAGGAGCCACCTTCTTCTCTAAACACTGATGCTACCAAGTACAGAAGCTAGATTTATTATACACCTAAAACAATAAAAACAGCAGTGACCAATCTGCCCTATTCCTTCACACAGCAAGCTAAGCATCCATTATTTCTTGTAAGCATCATTAAACTGTCCTAAAAACTTAACTAGAAGCTATGACAGCTTAATACTTTGATAGCAAGCCATGCCATCAACCCAAGGTGCCCTGAAACCCTATTGTTCCCTGTCTCCCCTCAGCCAAAATGTTTCACCTCCCCGCATCATCAGGACTAAAGACACCAGACGGAATGACACCTGTGTTCAAGACACCAAGCTTGATCTTTTTGTGGTGGCTAAGAATTGGAAATCAAAGGGATACCCAGCAATTGGGGAATGGCTAAACAAGCCATGGTATGTGATTGTGATGGAATATTATTGTGATATAAGAAATGACAAGCAGGATGATTTCAGAACAACCTGGAAAGACTTACATGAACTGATGCATAGTGAAGTGAGCAGAACCAGGAGAGCATTGTACACAGGAACAGCAACATTGTTTGATGAAGAATTGTGAATGACTTAGCTATTCTCAGCAATACAATGATCCAAGACAATCCCAAAAGACTAATGATGAAGCATACTATTCACCTCCTAAGAAAGAACTGATATTGCTTGAATACAGACTGAAACATGCTATTTTCACTTTCTTTCTTTTTTGAGTCTTCTCACACAAAATGGTTGATATGGAAATGTTTTACATAATTGCACAGGTAATAACCTATATCTGATTGCTTACTGTCTCAGAGAGAGGGGTGTGGAAAGAGGGAGGGATAGAATTTGGAACTCAAAACTTTAAATAAAAATGTTAAAAATTTGAAAATAAAAAAAGAATACTTTAAGCTTGGAAGTGAAGGGCTTCATGGCCTATTTTAAGACTTTGGGGGCTTAGCTCCCTAGAAATACAAAATTATTAAATCCAGGTTATAAACTTCAGGTGTTACTATAGAGCACTTTCCAAATCTTAAACCACTATATAAATGTCAGCACTAGGCAAATGGCACCTGGGTGGTGTAGTGGGTAGAGTACTGGGGCCTAGAGTCAAGAAGACCTGAGTTCAAATGCAGTCTCAGACTTTTAGTAGCTGTGTGAGTGACCCTGGCATGTCACTTAGCCTTTGTGTGCCTCAGTTTCCTCATCTGTAAAATGAGTACCTACCTCTTTGAGTTCTTGTGAGGATCAAATGAAATAATAACTGTTAATTAAACACTTACTACAGTGCCCAGCACATAGTAAGTGCTATATAAATGTTGGCTATTAGCTTTTGTTAGCTATGATTGTTATTATCTGCTAAAGCAGCATGCATGCCCTTTAGTCATCAAAAACCAGAGAGGGGCAAGAATCATGGAATCTTATTACTGAAAAGGCCTCACCTAGTCTTGGGCTCACAGTTTTAGAGCTGGAAAGGACCTCAGTGGTCACCCAGCCTAACGCCTTCGTTGTGTCAATCTACAGTGACCAACACCCAGAAAGGTCACAGAGCTACCTAGGAAACGAGCCAGGACTAAAACCCGGATCTCCTGACTTCTGATCTGTAAACTGTCCACCGCCCTGGTACCACCAGGAAATCAAGAGGAGCCTTGGCAGTGCCCCACAGGTACTCACCAGGGTGACAATGGCACACTCAGCAGTCAGCTGGGCGGCGCTGAACAGCGTCCGAACGAACCGGTAAATCTGCTTTTGTTCTGGGTTGTGTTTGTCGTAGTCTGGTGGCACTTCGGATTTCTGCAGAAGGAAATCATTTTCAGATGACTCACCTCCGAACCCAAAGGGCAGAAAAATAATGAAGCTCTATCTCATAAAACAAGGCAGGGGAGAGGGAAGGAGATTACCGAAAGGGGGTGAAGATTTTCATCAAAAATATCTAAGAGCATCCTTCCATCTGTGTCCCTGAGGAAGAAAAAAAAAGAATGTAGAATTTACCATCTACAAGAACATGTGTCATTCACAAAATCAGCAAAAATACATTTTAATTTGAACGGATTTCAGAAAGGCATTGATGAAGTGTGTGACTTGAAGAAATGCCATCAGTGACCATTCAATAACCCCTTTATGTCCATGCTACAGTGAAATCATTTTTATTTTAGAAGTCCATGGTAGTAATAGCAATGATTCATACTTCATAAATTGTACTAAGGAGAAAACTTGGGCCTTTTATTCCCTATAGATAATTTTATAGATATGTGTAGGATGTTACTGGGTGTGTGTGTGTATACGTACACATATATGTATGTGTGTTTATGTATACATATATACTAATGAAGTTTTCTGCTTTTATATATTATATATACATAGATTATATAAGTATAATTACATTTATATATGTATTTCCCTATGTATATACATGTGTGAATATATGCATATACATGTACACATGTGCATATGCATATAGGGATATGTACACAATAAACATATATTGTACTGGGTGTGTGTGTGTATGTATGTATATGAATACACCCTAAGAAAAGAAACTCTTCCTGTAATATCTCCACTCTTTGATCTCCAGCTGTTCCTGAAAAGACACCTGGGGCATCAGTTAAAACCACTGCTAAGCTGTCACTGGTGGGAAAGAAATCTTAGGCTATGAAGAGGAAATGCCCCCAGGGATCCATTTGTGATTTCCACATTCAATTTAGCTAGTGAAATAATTCCAAGTTTAACCTGGGTGTTTTTGTATACTGAACAAGATTACACGCATGCTATGCTTAACTGATAAAATAGTGCCTGGATAACTTTCAAGACATTAAGCTTCTAACCAGCTTAAAAAATACATATAGGAATACACTCTCCCCACCCCCCACCCCACCCCCAAATACTTCCCTATCATTGTATTTTGCAATAAAGTTGCTAGCCTCACTTTAACATGATAAAACCTCTCTCACTTTCCTGCCAATCCCATTGCCTACATGTAACTTCTATGATATTGTCCCCACAGAACTAACTGTCCCCAGGAATAATATTTTACCTATCATGTTTTCACTAATCAATTAATCTTGTTAGGCAGGATATATCTGTAGAATCCTTTAAGTTAAACAATGGGATTTCTATCTATTCTTCCAAAACATGTCGCTAAAGAAAACGAGAGAAGGTATTCATGAAACCAAAAATTCTTTTATGGCAAGTGTCATTTTGTTTCTGGCTTATGTCTTTTCAGTCGGATTCCTTGCACACAATTCCTGGCATATATGAGAACCTTGGCAGCTAGGTGGCACAGTGGATACAGCCCTGGGCCTAAAATCAGGAAGACTCCTCTTCTGAGTTCAAATCCGGCCTCAGACACTTACTAGCTGTGTGACCCTGGGCAAGTCACTTCATCTTGTTTGCCTCAGTTCCCTCATCTGTAAAATTAGCTGCTTGAGAAGGAAATGGCAAACCACTCCAGTATCTCTGCCAAGAAAACCCCAAAAGGGGTCACAAAGAGTTGAACATAACAAGAACCTTAAAAATTCTGGGATGACAGGATCACAGATCCAGACCTGAAAAGAAGTCATCAGAGGTAATTTAATCTGATCCTCTCATTTCACAGATGAGGAAACTGTGTCCCAAAGCTGTTAGGTGACTTTCCCAAGGTTACACAGGTAAGGAACATTAGAGGTGAGATCTGAACCCTGGTCCACTGATGTGAGAGACAGTGTTCTTTCCAATGTGCTACATACAATTTGTATATATTTGTAGGCAAACAGAAAATTCCCTCTCTTTAAAATGTCTGATTAAAGAATAAAAGAGGAAAGAGGACAGCAGAATACATTCTGACGTACTACATGATATTTACAAAACTAGAATTCCTAAGGAACTCAGTTTACTCAAATGAGATTTGAGTAAAGCATTTTGCAAACCTTAAAGCACTACATGAATGCTACTATTCTTACTAAACATTTGCCTACCATGTCCACAGAACTGTGATTGACAGAAATAACAAGATTTAGAGCCCTGCCCCTCCAGGAGTTTACCATCCAGCAGGGGAATCACAAAAGTGACTTGTGGTCCAGCCACAGACCCGATTATCTTTCAAGGAGGGTCAGCTACTGCCGGCTTTGCCTTTGCCACTGTGAACGCAAGCAACCGCAAGTCTGGTTTTCAAAAGTTTCGGCTAAGCATCAGTACCACTGAGGCAGAACAAATCGAAAGTCAGTAAAGAGCCCCCTTTCTCTGTAGCACCAACAACAGTGGTACCACTACATACTTTGGTGTTACACACTAACATTACACACAGTATTAACACCCTAACAATGCCCCTCAATTTATTTTCTAGGTGGTATCTGACACCTAACAACTCAGCACCAAATTTTCTTGGGCAGTTCAACAGTATCTCTCTTTTTTTTCTTTTTGAAAAGTACAAACCATGGAATAGCCATCCAGGAAGTCTAGAAAAAAGTACAAAATGATGTGAGGTTTGTAGCATTGAAGATGGCAGAAGAAACACCCTAAAAGAATCTGGATGGGGCTTGAAAAACCAGAGCTGCAATGCTTCTTGGGGAGGAGGTGGGGGACAAGCGGGGAACGAATCTTTTCTGAAGCTCATTTACATTGAACTCATCTTGCTTCCTTTCACCTCCTTTCACGGATGTATATTCCACTTAAATAGCATTCTCTCTATCAAGCAAATAGACCTGTCACAGGTTCCCAGTTTTCAGCCAGCATAATTTATCAAGCAGAAACTGGGTCAGGAAGAGATGCCACCTCTTCCTCAAGAGACCTACAGGTTATAATGTTCAGATTTATCACATATGTTAACATCATCTTCCCTCTCTTCTCATTGGTATCTGTCCCAGATGTTCACCATTGCACCCGGCTCATCAATAACTGCTTAGCACACTGCCTGGCACACAGAAAGTGCTTAATACATGTTTGCTGCCTTGCCTAACTACTGCTGAACATCAATGTAGCATATTACTACGAAGTTCACAAACATTGCTGCAAAGTTGTTTTGGCATGTGAATGTCACCAATAAGGCTGCACTGTCCTTTGGTATTTAAATGGTTAGTCTGGGTAAGATTGGAAAATCTGGGTAAGAATGACAAAAATAAGAAACCAGACAAGGCTTTGGCTTTCATTATGTTTTATTCTTTTTCATGAGACAATATTGAGATGTCCTGTTATTTTGTAGTTTTTAAAAATAATGCATTTTCCAATTCCATGTGAACCTATGCATCATGGTTCAGGGTGGTAAAACAGAAACACTTCAATGTATGTAATATTCTCTCATAATCAACTTCCAAATTTGGGGTATCCCCCAGAGTGAGCTATTTTTAACTATACGTACAGCTGTACTTAAAATTACTTTAAACTGTGTTTTCCTGTTAGAGCAAAATGCCTTCTGAAATTTCTTTATGAAGTTCCATAGTCTGAGAATTTTTAATTCTACATAATGGGAATAATCAGAGATATCTGCTCTAATCTATAAGAAATGGTTATCCAGCAGACATTTTGGGGGCAATGGGGGCTTCATGTTAGCATCTCGTCTATTTCTTATTACATGTGTGGACTCCACCCAGTTCAAGGGGAGCTGTGTATTATGGAAGGACTTGCATGTGTGCTCAAAGGATATAAGGAATTATAGTCAATTTAGAAGTCCTATGAAAATGTGATTTAAAGGTACAAGTCCTATAGTTTAAATAAGGAAAAAAGACAAAGATGATATTTTTTAACATCTTGGGAAAGAAATTCGTTATCCACATACCTGTTTTTGATGTGATAATATATTGCAAGCGCTACACTGTAAAGCAAAACACAAGAGTTAATGTTTTATTTTTTAAAAATCAGGAACTTATCATAGAAACACCATCTGATCACAAATGTCTACATTTGCATACCATTCCCTCATTTAGAAATCAAATCTAGGGGCAGCTAGGTGGGGCAGTGGATAGAGTACTGGCCCTGAAATCAGGAGGACCTGAGTTCAAATTCGGCCTCAGACACATAACACTTACTAGCTATGTGACCCTGGGCAAGTCACTTAACCCCATCGCCTAGCCAAAAAAAAAAAAAAAGAAAAGAAATCAAATTTAGAAAATGTAGTTTGAAAAAATATAACTACCTCTCTCTCCCTTGACCGGTGCTGCAATTTACATTATCTTTTTCTGCAAAACTAGAACTTGCCCCTCAATGTTTATAAAGAAATCACTGCATGTGCCAGATTTTGTCAGACATTAGCATGGTGTAGCGGAAAGTGCACAGGGTGTGGAGTTAGGGGGCTTCAGTGTCAATACCAGCTCTGCTACCTACTATGAGACTGTAGTCAAGTCACGTCACCTCTTTCAACCTCAGTTTCCTCATCAGTAAAATGAAGGGGCTGGATCAGATGGTCCTTAAGCCCCACTCCCTCGCATCTATCAATACTAGGATCTTATTAAAACATGGGCACATCGTATATTTCAAAGCCGTATCAAGTGTCACAGCAGAACACCTAGAAGGGTTTTTTAATCTAGTAACTATTGCCCTGAAACTTTGTAATTATATTACAACAGCTGAGAAAACGCAAATTAAAGTTGCCCAAAGTAGTTTTCTAGTTTTTTTTTTCTTTTAAAACAATTACTTTCTCTTAGCAAACTCCTCATGCATCTTCACTTAGTTGCTGAAATGCTACTAAGATATGACTTATATCTTGGTGGAAAAATCTCCAGATGGTTGGTGTTGGGCAAGAAAATGCCTTTTTTCCCCTCTTTTTTGGATCTGAGGATACTCTACACCAGGGGTGGGGAACCTGCGGTCTCGAGGCCACGTGTGGCCCTGTAGGTTCTCAAGTGCGGTCCTTTAAATCCAAACTTCACTGAACAAAGTTTGGATTCAGTCAAAGGGCCAAACTTGAGAACCTAGAGGGCCACAAGTGGCCTTGAGGCTGCAAGTTCCTCACCCCTGCTTTACACAGATTACCTAATTTGTTTTGTTTTTGTTTGAGCTTAAGAGAAACAGCACACTGGGTTTGTGCCAATGGTCCATCCAAACAAGTATTCTAGCTTTTGTCAGTGATATCAGGAAACATTCTATGAGTCTTAGTTGCCCTTCAGGACATCAGCTTTAAAGTGTGGAATAGACCCTGAACTTCCTAATTTGCTCTTAATCAGCACATGTCTAGTGATCTGAGGTATGCTGAGAATTCTAAATACCTCCAGTTTTTAGCTAACTTTCCTTACAAGTAAGAAATAAAACTCCATTCCTTAGAATCATTTTTCCCAGTTCTAACAGTTAATGCTCAAAGAAAGGGGAATCCTAAAGCACCTCAGAACAATAAGAAAATCAATATCTATCTACTTTTGGAATCTTTAAAAGCATTTTTGAAAAAAGGGATTTACAAGCTCAGAATTACAGAAATGGTACTAAGGTCTTAGATCAATATAATTCCAATGTGACTTTAGGGTTCTAAGATCAGAAGTCAAGCATTACAATAAGAAACGAAGAGAAGCAAAAGAAAGGAGGTAATTTCCTTACCCTTTTTTGGGGGGGGGGGGTTAGGCCATGGGGTTAAGTGACTTGCCCAGGGTTACACAGCGAGTAAGTAAGTGTCAAGTGTCTGAGGCCAGATTTGAACTCAGGTCCTCCTGACTCCCAGCCAGTGCTCTATCTACTACACCATCTAACTGCCCCTTCCTTACCCTTTTTAGAGTAGAAAGGCCTAGAAGCGGACCTTGTTTGGTTTTAGAATCTTCCATTTTCCTATCCCTCTACCACCTCGTGGGACTTTTCTCTGGAGATCCGTGTTACCCACTGTCTCAACTGCAGCACCCTCTCAGACCAGCCTTCCTCCCAAAGAGCTCCACTCTACCAAATTACCTATCACTCCTCTTTCTAATCACAACTCTTCCTTCAGAGCAACTGATCTCACACATTAGGAGAAAATTAACCAAACTGAACTAGTTAGTTCACACTAATGTGTCAATGATTGATAGCCCACTTGAACCTCTACCAAGTAAAATTTCAAGCAGTATAACAAAGGGAAATGAAAAAAAAAACAAAAAAACAAAAAACAAGAAAAAACTGCCAGCAATGTAGGGAATAGCATTTAGGTCAGGACATGGGCAGGGTGCCTGTGCCTACCATTAAGGTCAGCTCCTCTAAGGTGTTCTTTTCAGTCTATTCCCCGCTACTTCTGAAACTGCTTATTCCCTAAAAGCACTATAGCTTTTGCACTCAGCAAGGATAGGGTGACTTTGGAGATGGGGATGAGGATGAAGTCTGTGGGGAGGATCCCTTTGTAAATCGGGGGTGGTTTAGACATTAACAGTACAGACAAAGTATGAGCTGTCCAAAGCTGGGACCCTTTGTGTATGTGTAACTTTCACGTGATTTTTAGACAATAACCCCAACACAAAAGAATTCACTGGCGGCCACTGTACAGATGGGGGTGTGTCTGCCTTACTCTAAATTTCTTCTTGCTTCCCAGGATTAAAGGAAAATCAGGAGCTTCTGCATTTTCCTCAAGCATCAGCCAGTGAGATGAGAGGACATGGTTCTTGCCAGCTTCTCATTTTCCTTCGACAAACAGTAACAACTTAGTCCAAAGGAACATTTCCAACAGCTACGTCCATGCAGTAGATTGTGAACCAAGGGTCTTATTGGACAAGGCCACAAAGAACAGAGCAGCCAAGCTATCCTAAATACGTTTCCATCATGAATCATGAGACAAAGATTTTTAATCAACACAACTTACTGAGCCCATAAACACCAAAGGAATGAGAGAATAGACCACATTTCCATTAATAACTTGACAAAGATAATATATATTAGGGGGATTCTATTTAAACAGTAGGCTCTATCTAAGTAGTGAAGTCTTCCCCATCCCATTCAATATAGTGCTGTGCACACAGCTGGCACTCAAGGCATGCTTGTTGGTTTATTAGGCTGCATTATCATAGCTATCAGTGACACAAGAATGGGGTCATGCAAACTAGAGAACCTAGCTCAGTGAAAGTCTACATTTTTTTGAGAATTTGAAGACTTAAAAAGACTAACAGTTTTAAAATATGTATATATGCATGTATTATGTGTATATGTGTAACTGCATGCATGTATACATACATCTATGTGTGTATATGTATATCTATTATACATACACAAACATACACCTTCCTAGAAGAGGACATAGGTGTCTTAGGGCCTTTCTTGGGGCTTAGCTGTTGTCCTCAGATTTCAAGGGATGCCATCTCTGTATGGTCTCTTATTTGTCAATTGGGGATGATGATCACTCCTACCAGCTACTTCCTCGAACTGAGGTAAAGGAAACATTTTGGAAGCTCTGAAGTGCTATTCAAAGGTTCATCGTTATTATTACTTCAACGCTGGCCATGTCAGAATGCTAGACACGGAAGGCCCTTTATAGAACCAACTCTCTTATTTAATATATGAGGAAATTGAGGCTTGCTGAGGTGATGTGGCTTACTTACAGTCCTGCCAAGTGTCAGAGCTTAAATTAGAAGCCAGGGTGGCTGACAGCCACTTCTGGGCACTCACCACTACACCATGCTTGTCTTCTCACTACCTTCTTTTGCTTTTAAAATTCAACATCCTCAGGCAGCCTTATATTTTTGAAGAAAAGGTGCTAGAAGAGTGTTGTATTAGATTGGCCTTAAAAGGAAAAGGTGGGGAGGAAAGGGCATGTCGTATGAGTATATGAGAGTGCCAATACTTTAAATTTCTAACAAAATAAGGAACATTTGAAAAACAATTCCTTTAATTTTTTTAAAATTGTGTGCTATCATTTTCCATTTTATTTCAACATTTTGTTGATGATTGATAGGTTTAAAATAAAAAGAAATGAAAAGAGAAAAGGATGGAAAGATAAAGGGAAGGAGGGATAAGGAGGGAAAGAAGGAAAGAAACCTGCAACCATCAATAAGTGTTGGCTACTTCACCCCCATGACCCCAGCCATTCGTGATCTCCCACGAGTCATCTGGGCTGCCTAGAAGATGAGTCGCTACTGCTCTTATCATCCCTGAAAGGAAGTGCACAGTAGCCACTGGAAATTGGGTGGGACCACTGCAGTGACAAGAGGCAAAGAGCACCTGCTTCCCTCTTGTCCCTTCTTTTAAAAGGTGATCTACATCCCATACGTCCTTAAGTCCCATACATTTCATAAACATAACCACTTTTTCAATTTTCTTGATACGGTGATTCCTCAACCACACAAACATGTACACACATGCACACGCATGCACGCGCGCACACACGCACACACACACACACACACACACACACTTTTCTTTAAGCCATCATTAAGGCATACTAGCAGAGGAAGCGAAGGCATGGATCTGAATACCCACCATTTAATTGTATACTTGAGGTTTGGTTGACTGACTGTGCTATCATCTAGGAAAATAGTGGAACAGGAGCTGTATTTCCTTCCCATCTGTCCTGGAGGGTGCTAGGAAACAACAAGGCAACAAAATGACGACAATTATATACTTGCTGAATGCTCTCCTCAGAGACCTCCACCCACCCACCTTCACTGGCGATGATCACCCACAAAAAATAGCAATCTCAGTGAAAGTTTCTTAAATCCCAATGAGAACAGGATTAAAAGGTTTTATCTGCCAAAGTAAAAAAAGCATTTTCTTCCGACTTGGTTTAAAAAAATAAAGTACAAACTCTACATCAAAAAAGAAAGGCAGCAGGCAGCAGAAAAACCACGCTACAGAGCAACATGAATCCAGTGGTATGGGTGAGGAAAATTAAGCCCCCGGTAATCACAATAATAGTGAAAATAGCAAGCATTTATACAGTGCTTAAGGTTTGCACAAAGCTTTTCACATATCTCATTTGGTCCTCATAACAACCCTGTGAGGTACATGCTTATTGATAACCTCAATTTATATATGAGGAAACTGAGGCAACCAAGAAATTAAGTGCCTTGTCCAAGGGTCATACAGCTAATAAGTGCCTGAGGCAAGATTCAAAAGTACACAGTAGGGTTCTCTGCCACTGAAGGGCTATAATTCAGAGTTCCTCAGGCAACTCCATAGGATGTATCTGCTGAGTCACAGGTCAGAGCTGGGTTACCATCTTCTCCAGTGGAAGGAGTTCCCACCCTGTGAGTTTCCCATAACCAACAATAAGAAGGATCCTTGTCTACCATGCCACTATTATAACAAGATTCCACAGAATCAACTTTCTCTCTCTTATTCTTATGGGTGTATTCGGAATCTAGAGGCCATTAACACATTAGGCTTTATAAGATACACTTAATGTAAGATGCATGTTACATTAATATTTGTCCCCTTGACCTATCTGCTTTTCAGAACCATGTGAGAGATGAAAAAATAAAGTTATTGATTCAAGTGATGGAAAAACCTGTTTTAAAATGTGTTATAAGCTGAAGAAATGAATAACTGCTTAGGTCTTGCATAAGTTCAATTGGTCCAAATATAGGCTGCCACCCATCATAAGCCAAACTCCTAAGTGAATTTCTTTTTAAGGAATGAAAGGACCTGGGCTTAAATACTAGTGATGTTACCACTTGTGTGACTGTAGGGAAATCAGTGTGATCTCTGCAGGCCTTAGGTTCCTTAACTAAGGAGGGGGTCAGATTAGAGGATCGAAATCCCCTTATAGTTCTAAACCATATAAAAACAATATGAGTCCAAGCAATTAAAGAAAACGTCTGTAATTGGTAGAAGCCAAGAAATGAGGAGGGAAGAGCAGGTGGATGTGAGAGGGGATGGTCAGGCAGGTTTGGGGAACAGCTGGTTTACATCAAAGCATAAACCTCCATAGTATTTAGAAAACAATCTTGGTAGCTATAGTTTGTATTTAAGAGGCCCTAGCTCCATTGTTTTTATACATATTTTATCTAAAGAAATACAGGTAAAGATAAGAATCCTCAAACCAGAGAGCAGAGTCAAAAGCCAAGAGACATTATAAGGATAACATCAAATTAGCAGGGACCAAGTTAACCAGAATGAAAGAGGAATTTACTCTCCAAAGATTAGACTAGCTATGTGTAAAACTATGTCAAGTCTTGGTACCACCAAGAACATATGGGACACCTAATGACTTGGGACAGAAAGCTCAGTGAGTCTAACCCCAACCGTCCAGAGGAGCTGCCTTTACTCTATGGATAATAGGGACCACCCCCTGACTGACAAGCTAGCTCCTCTCCAATCCCAAGGGATGGTGGGGATAGCTGAAGATTCCAAGGCCAGGGGGGACCACCTTCACAGACAGCAAACATGTGGGCACCAAGGCAGTGAAAAGAGAGGCAACTATTGTGACCGGAAGAAAAGAAGCCACGGAGAAGATAGCACTAGTCAAAGGATGCACAGCCTCTAGAAAGGAAACTTGTGTGGGAGAATTGAGCAGTCGGTGTACTGGGGATGGATACTGTATCACCAAGATGGCTGCCCCACTGGTCTGAAGACCCAGTGATTCCCGCAATTTTTCTTCCTCCCTTTCCCCCTCTGCCTCTCACAGAGGAGCATGTACCTGTGTGCACCCATCCCTTTGACTCTCCATTTCTTAGGAATCTGTCAGCCTTTCCTTTCGCTCTTTTTTTAGTATGACAAATCTGGTCATGACCAGCGAATTGCTAAACTGCGTTCATCCTTGCTCAAACAAAGTACAGAGCACCCTGGAGGAAAGAGAGACAGATTTACAGTTGCATTATTGTAACAGAGCATATTCTCTCTGACTGGGGTCTTGAAGTATAGAAATGTAATTACAGATTAATTTTTAACAGCTCAGAACGAATTGAAAAACTCAAACCCAGCTCTTTCTAGGCAAATGAGTGAACAGTCTAGCTGGCATTGGGAGGTGGGACTAATTGCACCACTAACCACCTTTTTTTTTTTAAAGGAAAACCTGTTCTCTAGGGGTGTGGAGAAGAGGTAGTAGCTAATGAGTCTGGGAGGCTGGGGGCAAGTAAGAGGTCATGACTAACCTTCTAACTCAACATAGAACCACCCCACCCCATTCCTGCAACATATTATAATTCCAATAAATAATGGATGGCTGAAAGATATTTGGTGATGGAGAAGGGAGGAGTCCTGTGAGTGTGTCATGGAGATGAAAGGAAGAAAAAAAAATATCCCTTGGGAAACATGAAGTCCTATATTTGTAGAAGAAGCAATAATTTCAGCTTTGTTTTATATTACAAACTTGTTCCCCAGAGCATTGTGACAATAAACCACTCCTCTAAGTCCATATTTCCTATATATTATTCCCAACCCTAAAGCTATTATGAAAGGAAGGCTAAGGAACTTTTTTTTTTTACTTATCTCTTTCCATACAAATAATCATTATACTCATTTACATCACTGCTGCTCTCTTAGTCTTTACCGATGCTGTTGTCATCTTTTACTGGGAGAATAACTATAGGCTGTACCCTAATTTTAATCAATATACATTTTGAGGGACCAACATGGCATTTCACATTTTAAGAAGTATTGAGCTCATTGGTGAAATTTAAAACTGAGGAAGTTACATATGACAGGGACTGGTAAGGGAAGAATAATGTAAGTTACAAATAAGTGACATTTAATCTAAAACGAAATGGATTTTTGACACTCTGCCTGAGTATTGTGATCAGCAGACACTAGCTGTATAATTAGGATTCTAAAGTGGATTTTTAATAAAAAAAATTAGATTCTCTGGACAGCAGTCAAATTTCCATTTACTTTTGTGTTTATGTTGATAGCTAAAGTATGTTGTCTAGCAAATAATGAAATTATCCCCAAAGGAGCTTGAAGTTAGTGCCTGGCCTCTTCATATCCCAAACAACTATAGATAATCAATCTTGTTTAACAGATTTTAAAGGGACTTTTAAGGCCTATATATAATCAGTTGCCTCATTCATTACTTTAAAACTAATATATTAAAATAAGGTTGCTAGCATTAAAAATATGAAACTTACAAACATTTAAGGCCTTTGACAAGTGAAGAATGAACAAACTCTTCCCTTAAAATTTATCCCCCATAAATCGGGATGACTGAGGCAACGATGAGTTCCCAAAACAATCATTTTATATGTTGTTATTAAGCAGGCTATATTGCTGTATTACTAAAACATTACTAAGTCTTGAACACTGGTTGTCATAATAATAATAATAATAAAATGCCTTAAAGCTCACAAAGTACTTTGCATCCATGATCTAACTGGAGCTTCACAATGGCCTTGTCAAGTATTATTACCAAAGGAAACAGAAACCAAGAGGTTAAGTACCCTCTTGATTATTAATTATAAGGCATATGATGTTTAATGCAACTTATCACATGAAAGAGCATTTAGGGTTTTTAGTAATTTGTTCAATATCACGATCATGTGTTTTATAACATTATAACCTCCAAGCATCTGAAATTCAAGCAACACCCTTGGTCTTTCTGAATTCAAGAGCTATCCCCCCTCTACATCACACTGCTAGCCACAATCAAATAACCCATAAGGAAATCTAAAAGGCAGTGTCTGTACTTGGGCCCATGACTACTTAAGCTCACACTTTTCTATGGCTGTTAAAGGAAAGAACAGACGGAAAGCAGATCAAGTCCAAGTTACAACTTAAATGTCAACTTTTACTTGACATTTCCAGGTTGACGGAATTAAACTGTAACAGTCTCATTAGGAAAATCTAAATATGTACAAGTGGTTATCTCTCTTTGTCAGTGGCTATGATATTTTAGTGACTTTAAAAATGGTAAAAATTCCTTTGAAGCTCCTGCAGGGTAGCAGTCAGGGTGGCAGGCTGTTAAGATCAGGCACCAAATGTTCTGATGAAAACTAAGAAGTGTACAATTTACTTTAAGCAATATAAAGATATGATAAATATCAAAATATGGATTACAAATTTATATACATATTGGTACAGATATGTACATACTTCCATGTTTTAAACACATTCAAAAACTCTGCATTAGTGCTTCAATTTTTTTTAAAGGAAGAGGGACTCACTTTTGCAATTTTGCCAACAATGGAGCAAAATTGACAGCAAATGACTTCTATTTCCTCTTAGGGCACATTCCTCTCAATGGTAGAGTATGGACAACCCTCGTGACTGCTTTCCTGCCCTTTCCATTCCTCAGACTCGTCCCCCCCCACCCCCTCCACAGGCTATAGAACTACCTCGATTAGCTGACTAAAATGAACGCCACAGAGCGGACACAGCTGCACAAAGGACCTGAAGGTTTCAGAGGCCAAACAAACAAACAAACAAAAAGAAACAAACAAACAAAACAAGCTTCAATGTGGGAAAGCTGCTCAGCTGTTTGAGTTCTTCCATGGTGTTAGTATGAGTCTCCCAGTGCTAACTACTGATTTACAAAAGTCCTAGATGTGCCAGATACTAATGTCAAGGGAATAAGTGACTGAACTCACAAAGCTTTCAAATTATTTCGCATTTGAAGGTTCTTCATCATCGACTATATGGCATTTGATTT